TATTAAAGTGTCAAACTTATTTTTCTCTCGTATTCTCCCGAACATTTATTTATCTACAAGGTTTCAATTTCACATTTCACTTATATTTTTTTAATATAATATTTTACAATACTTCCCAAGAGTTTTCTTAAATCTTTCTTACAATATCCCAAAAGATATAGATGAAAAGTTTATAGTTTCTTTATTAAAGAATAGATTTATAAACGAAAAATTTGTTTATGATTTAATGGATATTCAAGAGAATAAAAGAAGATTTTTTTCTTTTAATTTTCATGTTTATGTTTAAAATATCTCTCATGAATATATTATAGGCATGTATTTATAAGTACGAATATCAAAAAAGTCGTCAAAGACAATTCCAAATGGGTTTTGCCTTTAAAACAATTTTGTATAAGTATTACCCAACATGTGAAGGAAATTGTATGTGATGTTTCTATAAAGAATTTCTTACCATTGACAATAAACCTTAAAAATGCAACGATTTTGAAACGTAATGTAAATTTTTTTAACACTATTTTTCTGACAACATACAATTTGATTAACATTCTCAAAACATCCTAAAAAACTTTTAAAAAAATATTTTGACTCAAAAAATAGTGTGATTTATGCTCAGATAAAGTAAACACATAATCAATTATACATATCATTAAACCGTTATTTATGTATGTTCTGAGTTAAATCAGTTATCAAGCTATATTAACCGCTTAAAGCAATATCCTTTAAGTACATGGAAGTTGTAACGATCTCGAAAATTTAAAAGAAAATATGTATAAAGAATATGAGTGCTGAAGCGAAATAAAAGGTTCTGATTAATATTCCTTACACAATAAGTTAAACGTACTAACAATATCAAAAAATAAGTCATATAAAGAAAATACTAGAAATAAAATACTATAAGGAAACTAATAAACATCTAGGCATTTACTTGCCGTGTTCTTGTGGATCGGGCTCGGAAACCAAGTCCTTCTGATCTAAAATGGTTAAATAAGGAATGAGCTACACTAGCCCAGTAAAGACATCACACTATATAACTGTCATATAAGTAAAGATTTGTATAAAACCAAAAACAATCAATGGAGCACAAATTTTGAATAAATTTATTTATCAATAATCAAACCATTTACTATCTACTTATCTCAGTGGGATTTATAAAAACAACCCATGGAAACAACAACATCATAGATATCATGAATTCATACATAATCTGTAACATAGCACATGTCATACTTTTATATTTCAATCATCAAACAACAGTTGCCTCATTTTCATCAGCCTACTAGTATCCATGGAGATCCATAGGGGTCCCCGCTACATGTGAACCATTCATTTAACAAACTTAATTTCCAAGGTCATCCCCATACCCCGTCTGGTATGGGCGCCGAACAATAAACCTCAATACCCCGTTCGGTATGAGAGTGAAGCGGGTCGTCCCCATACCCCATCCGGTATGAGTGCCAAAATATTTAAAGTCTTCATACCCTGTCCGGTATGAGATAATATTCCCGGAAGGGTTCCCTATGGACCTGGTCCGTCTACCATCTCACAGGATATCTAGTGAGGCTGTCATCTTATCCAATTATCAATTCACACCCCTTTCCTATTTTTTTTTTCTTTAGTCTCCGTTACCCATTCAAAGATGAATACTAAACAAGCAATGTGCATCCAACAAGGTAAGCATATCTTAGATTCACAAAATCAAGCAGTAGTGAAGTAAACAGTAATTCATGCATTCAAAATCATAGAATAAATAAATCAAATACCATACTGCATTTAAACTGTAAAATAAATCAAAGAAGAACTGACAAAGAAATATGTCC